TTTTCCATATCTTTAATGAGTGGCTCCACCTTTCTGAATCTTGTAACCAGCTTCAAGGGCTATCCAATGGTATCAACAACAATACATACTTTTTCGTTATGGCAGAAAAACGACTAACACAGTGTTCGAAGCACTAAGATAGGTGATTTTGAATTATTCGCGCTCGCGGTGGCACTGCAAATCTCAGGAATTAAAAATTCGAAAGAGAGCAATTTTGGCAGCGTTTGAGATGGTTTAGGAGGAGGTCCTTCTAAGGTAGAGAACGATTTTGAAAAACGTTTGCTGAATGCCTCTGCCTTCGCTGTATCATCGCTCGCAATTGCATTTCCGAAAGTGATTGTAGCAGGGATGTCACATGACTCCTTTCTCATTTTGTTGATTTCTGGCCAAAAGATGGAAGGGTCCTTGAATTTGCGAAAAATATCCTCCTGCTTTGTTTTTCTTTCTTTTCGAAGAACTGCTGTTACTTCATTGCGTAGTTTTTTAAATTTCAATTTTTTAGCGGAAGAAGGAGCTGGTTTAGCCTGGCGAAAAGCCTCGTTCTTCTTATGACGTTGAATATAACTATATTGTAAGAAAAATTAATAATAGAATCCTAATAAAATCCTAGACTAATTCTATTAAATCCTAGAACTTTCCGGTCACCAGGCCAGGATCCATTAAATTAGGATCCTGCTACGATTGTCCAGTATTTTGACTAGGAATGGAGGTGACAATCTCCTTAAGGCTCCAACTTCCTTCGTTCGCAAGATTTCGATGCAACGTGGGACAAAATGAGGCTGTTTGTACTTCCTCAATTTCTGCGTCCATTTACCTACTGGAGAGTTCCGGCTGGTTTCTATATAAAGCTACCGCATGCGGTTACAACGTATAATAGTCGAATTTTCGAAATTCTGTTGACTTATAGTAATTATCGCAAGTGAAAAATATCAAAAACTGCCTGACAGTTTTCTGGAAGTCTAGCGAAACGATGAGACACTTTGAAAAATGGCAGTGATAGTGCGCCTACTTTAGTGCTCTGGTATAACTCTCATAACAATCCAGAAAGGTCGCCCAGAGCTGGGAGAGAACTCATTTTATAAAAAAGTGCGCTCTACAAGCTGACGGGGGTGACAAATTTTCCAATTTGCAGTTGCTCTGTGAAAAAGGTTGCTGTTGAAAAACTGAGTTTTTCTGAGCTTTTAGAAAAGTTTTCTAATAGCCACTGAAAGCCTATAATGAAGATCTGGCTATGATGTACTCTAATAGAGGACATCTTACACTATCTGATCATGCGCTGAACTCAATATCCGCTTTTTTTGAATAATTTCGTGTTTGTGACAGGGAGAGGCCTGAGACAATGTAAGAAACCGACAGACTAACATCTGTACCATCTGCTGCAGTTATCTAACATACAATCGACGAATTCTATTTTTCCTTGACGGAAATTAATGCTGATTTTCTCATATTGACAAATTTTTGGTTATATATTCAGTACACAGCCATTGTATTAATGTTTTGTCTGAGTTCTTGTGTTTTGTTGAGTCCGTCGAATATATCGTAATAAATTTTTCTGAAGAATCTATAGTGGAAAGTAGAATCTTAGGAGAATAAAGCAGATAAAGAATTAATAACTCACTTTTTTTTGAGTTGAAACAACGTTTGCAAATAATTCATTGGAGTTTGACAGTGAAGATTTTGGCAGTGGAGAATTTGACAGTGGAGATTTTGACAGTGGAGATTTTGACAGTGGAGATTTTGAATTTTTTAAAAAGTTGATTCTTCTACATCGCCTTCGGCATTTTCTGCTGACGATTCTAAACGTATTGAGTATACGATTGACTGATCAATGGCACGTTCAATACGTTCTCCTGGTTCCGAAACATGACGTTCAGTATCTTGTACATATCTGGCTCTTTTACATGGTGGTGGGTATGAATCAATGGGAATGGCAGCTGCCAGATCTTGCCGATCAACTTCTTTTTTATTCATCGGTTGCGGAATATGTGGCAGAAGATTGGGATGCATCGCACAAAAATCAACACTAACTTTGATAAACATTGTATCATTCTTCACAAATCTACTATCATCTCGCTGTATCATTTCTAGAGGAACGAATTTTGAAAAACCCGATGCAGTATTCATCTCTAAACGAGGACATTGAAAACTGTCTGATTTAGTATCCGGTCGAAATGAATTAATAATGTGCTGGTGTTGACCGGATAAATCATATAGACAGAAGGTAATATTATGATCGAATGGCCATTTCTGAATGGCATCATATTCACCTCTCATTAAGACAAAGAACAGTGACATGTGTGTTCGACGGGCATTTTCATCACCAAGTAGAAACAGACGAGCTCTCATTTTATAGCCACTTAGAGATGAATAGAATGGTGGCGAATAAATCGACAACTGATGTTCTAATTGTGCATTAACTATTTTACCAGAAACTTCATCTATTTTCCATGTGAGTGTACCGTCACTCGACGGAGTTTGTGTTAGACTAATACTCTCCTTTATATTGTCCAGTTGTTGTTGGAGTATTAGTTGATTCAAATTTATTCCAAACAGGAACTCGTCTGCTTTATCATTTGAAACTTTTATTTTATTATTCACGGATTGTATCATTTGAAAAGCTTGTTGTAATTTTGCGTCAAGTACAGTAACATTTTGATGAACTGGCATCAATTCATCTAGTGATCTATTAGATAACTGATAATTTGGATACAATTTCTCTTGGACGTTTGACAACGATACTGCTCTTTGACGTTCTTCATTTAACGTAGGTTTCCCCCTCTGAATAACAGAAATAAATAATATAATTTAAAAAAGTTTACTAAAAAATTTAAAACTTATATGACTAAATAAAGATCTATCTTCGGTGTGTAGTGAAGTGACAACCAGAGTATTCGAAAACGCACGCGCTTTTTACTACATTTCCAGACAAGCGTGTATTGAAACGCGCTTGAACACATGTATCTATGTGAACAAAGACTATTTAAAACAAAACACAGTAGTACTCCCCGGGTCAACGGTCACGCCTAAGTCACGACACGATCGCGATCACTATAAACTCATGGCTGCCGCTTAGCGATCGCTATAAAGTCACGTTATCATGTCGTGATCTTGGTAAACTCATGTTTTTTAGAAAAAATAATTTGTAGGAGTCCAGTCGCGATTTCATAGTCACGTCACGATCGATATACACTCACGAAATCACGCCGCGATCGCTGTACACTCGCGATCTCGCAGCGGGACTCTAAATCTGCATCGATTGGATTCTTAAGAATTCAGTATAGTTTTTTCTTAGCGCGATTATTACCATCATATCGCTATTTCGCGATGTGACTCATGCCGACAGTAATTGCGGCTATTGCAGGACAATCTAGCTGAGTTTTTTTTTTAGCTGAGCGATGCGACTCACGTCACGGAATTTTATTGATGGATATCGCTAGTAATTTTTTTGAATTGCAATTTCAATTTTTTTCTCTTATTTCAAAGTGGGAATTTAGTGTATATTTCGTATACAAATAGATAGTCCAAATTCTGTTTATAACATAAATAGTATATACTATGTGTCTATAGACACGTGTGTGATCGAAGATATGTGTTTTTGTTATTCTCATTTAAATAAGATATACAAAAAAAGTCAATGTCCGTTATACACAAGACACTTCATATTTTCTTAACGTAGTGTGCAGACTATATTTACACTCGATTTTCTTGCAGTTTATATCCGCTTTTTTCACTTTTTCAAGAGAGAACCGCATGGAAAAATAAATAATATACAAAGTAAGTACACAGCAATGTTAATGAACGAAGGAGTATGGAAACATAAATCCTTTTCACTTTTGTTGTCACAAAGTTGAAATCTTTTTGTTTAAATAGTCTGGGTACCAAAACGGACTTCTACTATGTACAACTTCGCTAAATATTTTAACTTCTCAAGGTCTGAAAATAAAAATGCACCAAAGTGAGAAATGCATCACAGGTTGATGTCATCGCAATCGTGAGTATCCTCGGTGTAAAATCGCTTTGTCGTTGGTGACTTTCAGGATGTAGCGAGTATCATTTCGGTCCTGTTTGACGCAGAGAGGATTGGGGCTAAGCCGTTCCGCCTCATTCACTGGATGCTAGACTGGCTCTAGCAACGAACTGATATTAGCGTCTAGTATTTACGAATACGAATTCTCTGAAAGTTCAAGCGCGAATGTTTTCTTCACATACGACAAACGTTACCTTATTGGTAAGGCTCACGTTAGAATCATAAGACATCAGCCTCTCTCACCTTTATTTTGATACCAGATTTTGAATCATAACGGACAGAAAACTTCGTTCGAAATGAAAATTTCTTTCACTAAAGTTATCACAGCTCACGATTAACTTTTTAGAAATAGAGTAAAGAAGATAGTTCAACATCACAACAGAAATACGCCGGAAGGATTTAAAGGAGAAACTTGATCTTCAAAACTTTTGCTGCGTACTCATTTTGAATTCGTATATGAATTCTGACGAAGATATATTCCGGTAAGAATTTTCCACTCAGCACAATTTAACATCCTATACACTCATTTTTCATTTTTCATTCAATTTTTTTTACTGGAATATATCAGAATATATATTGTCAGAATTTAATAACGTATAGCAGAATTCGGTGATATACACCAGATGTTAGGATTCTAAACTCTGGTGTTTCATCTATAATCCATCAAAACTTATCAACATTCAACTTCTTTGCATCGGGTAGATGAGAGTGAACACTTAAAAACATTTGCGAGAGTTTAGGATCCAAAAGATGGCTCAATTATGGTGGAAATCTCGAATTTTATTTACTAGAACTCTGACAATCCTCATTTATATACCAAATATCACGAGTATAAATAAAATTTAAAAGGAAGATGATAAAATATTATTTTAGAATAATAATTAATAATAAATATTACGAGCATGGATAAAACTAAAGAAAAAATAAAATGACTAATCATAACGGATCATATTAATTCTTTTCTTAAAAAATTTAGGTATTATGCTATAGAAAGTTCCATTCTCTTTGACTAGTGAGTATAATGCGGGACCACCTTAATGGGGCATGAAAAAGCTCACCTACTGCACCTCTCTTGGGACTCCAGATGAAAATCCTAGCATGAATGTGTTCTTCACTAGGCATGCAATTATCCTAAACTAGGAATCGCTGATTGGCACCAAATGGTTTGTCACCGAACGGTTCGCTACTGGACATGTTTGCTGCCGATCAGCGAGCCTTAGCTTGGGATGGTTGCATGCCTGATCTGGACTAAAGGCAAATTGAATGAAATTGAAGCCAGGAAGGAAGTAACTAGTGAGAAAATAGACTAAAGTACAATGTGAGCGAATGTGTCTTCTACTGAATCGCTACCAAAGATTTAAAAAAAATAGTTTGTCAAAGCTAAGAACATGAGAACGAAAAAACACATGAAAGAAATCTTTGTAAAACAGAAAAACTGATGAAGATTACACCAAACGGAGGAGCAGCCTTGATTACGCCGTAGCCGTAGGTAGTCATGTAAAGAAAAGTTTGAATCAGAGCAGCAAATTTATGTTTACTTTGTTCCAGAAAGTTGAAAGTACCTTTAGTTTCCATTATATCTGATTTACTCTCGCATTAATTACTAACGTGGCCTCTGTACAGCAGATTGATTTACTTTGTTTCCATGCAAAAATGCTTTTTCTCACTGTGCAGAAAAAAGTAGACCGACAGTTGCAGCTCTAATTTGAATGTATCTTTATAAGATTTATGGTACTTTGTCCTAATAGTTTGTCAGCAGAGCGCTCGTCGATGTCTCTGATGAGAAAAATATAAACTATCGTATTTACAATCTTCGTCCGAACACGTTCGATAGCGATCTGGTAGAAGACACATTCGCTCACATTGTGCTTTAGTTAATCTATTTTCTCACTGGTTACTTCCTTCAAAAGCTTCAATTTCATTCAATTTGCCTTTAGTCCAGATCAGGCATGCAACCATCCCAAGCTAGGACTCGCTCATCGGCAGCGAACCGTTCGGTAACAAACCGTTTGGTGCATGCCTATTCTTCACATGCGGTTTCTGCGTCGAACCGGAGTAGAGCAACTGAAATATGAGTTTGAGAAAAGAAAAACCTTTAAAGACAATCCCTAAAAGAATTGTTTTCATCCAGAAAACCTGAAAAATAAATAAAAACCCTATATACAAGTCCTGTTCAGAGAGGAAAACTCAAAATCGGACAAGCACTGCAAGAAGATGAGAAAAAAACAAGCACGAGTAAGTAAAAGTTACGATAGGGGTCTTGCTGAAGAAAAATCGTGACCCCTGCGTAGTCACGTCTCGTCAACAGCTGGTCGCGCTGAAGTTTTGATAAAAACGGGACTCACGTCCGGACTTCGTGAGTCACATCGCGGAATTCACACCCAAATATATAAAAATATGGGACTCACGCAGCGACAGCGGGAGTCACGTCGTGATTTTCGAGGGTGGATTGGAAAGAGCCCTTTTCATCGTGAGTTTATAGTGATCGTGAAAATCAGGACATTTTTCGTGAGTCCAATAGCGATCGCGTTCACGCCATGACTTTTTCGGTGACTCATGTCTTGAGTTTGCCGTGAGAGTCGACCTGGGTCGCTTGTCCTAAAAAAATGTCGAAAGCAAGGGTTCAAACGCACATAGCAACCACTATTTATTCTAGGAAACGCTAATGACTACAAACGCGAAATGTACCTAAACACGTTTCTTTCAAAAAAAAACGCTCAAGTCTTAATAAAATCAATCTACCCAAAACACTAATTTTTTTTCACGTCTAAAAAATATCGAATTTTTCATACTTTAAGGATTAATTGTGTCTCGGTGCATTTTTCTTCATCACTATTTGTAACGATATGTTGATCTTTCTTTTGCAACTTGAAAGTCCCAGAATTGGTAGTCTGAATAAAAAGAATACGCAATGTGTTACTTCAAAATAACTGCTTCTAAGCTTTTATTATATTCACCCACTCTACTGTATTTTAAGTTTTTGCCTTGAACTCATGCACGTTTCACAGTACAACTTAAATAACATATTGAAAAACTCTCTTACATGATTTTGTTCCGATAAATCACCACTAACAGCCTCCCGTCTTTGTCGTATTGCATTTCTTCTGGCTAATAAATTTTGTCTTATAGTAGGAATGACTATTTGTTCTGATTCAGGGCTTTGATCAACATTTTCGAGATCATTAGTTATTGTTGGAGAAGATGCTTTATCCATTTTATACTATAAAAAGAAAAAATTTCTAAAAAGATCGAAAATGTGAAATACCAGAAGACTCCAACGAATGTCTTTGTCTACAGAATGCAGATAGTACCATCGTTAGCATGTTTTTCTACCATCTCACATCAAAATGAAAAATACTCCATAAAAGACAAAAAAAATATAAGCTGTTTAAGTAATTTTATTAAAAAATATGACATCACATATGTAAAATAAACTTTTCATTAAAGTACAATATAGAAAAAGATGACATGTAGCAACAGAGAAAACGTGTCTCTGAGCCAGTGTCTCCCGCATTTAGTATATTGAATTATTGACAAAATAAAAAAATTTCTGACATTAAAAGATTAAGGATGCTCTTAAAGAAAATACGATTGAAATAGCGCTTTTTTTCCGATGCCAATCGCAAAATATTTATTAAAATTATATTTGCCGTTCTGTTTAAAAAGAAAAAGAAAAAAAACGCCATTTTCATCGCACATCTTTAAGAACATCTCCCTTAAATTATTTTCGCATCAACTGAAGAAGAAAGCATAAAAGTAAAAATAAAGGATCCGAACGAAAAGTATGACACTTTAGTGCAATATTTGTGCAATAACAAAAAAATGTTTTAGATACGAAAACATGTGCACATGTTTCAGTTAATATTTCTGGCGTTTAACAATGTAGTTTACTATTCAAGAGAAAAATAAACGTTTTTCAATAGACGATTTTGTTTTGTGGCAAAATACATGTTAAACACCAGAAATATTAACTCAAAAATGCGTGCATGTGTTTGTGTCTAAAATGTTTTCTTAAATATTAAAAAAAAGAAGATTGACAGCCGACAGTTGTTGCTAGAAACGCGTATTTTTAAGTATAAGAAATAAAAAACAATGAATACAGTAAATACTGACATGGGATGGAAATTGGGATGATTAGGAGAAAATGTCCCTCACGCTGCCGAAATGACTTTCTCTATACTTTCACAGACTGAGTCTGATTTACTATTTTTGTTCAGTTTTGAAACACTGGTAAGCTCGCGTAAAAACCAGTTGAGAATGAACTTTTCCCTTCGTTGCAGAAAGCGAAAAGTTGTACTAAGACTGTCCACCAGAGCTCCGTATGGACTCAAATTTTTGAGTCCAGTCCAGTTCATGGACTAAAAAATCTAGTCCAGTCCAGTCCGAGTCCATGAAATCCAAAAAATCTGAGTCCAGTCCATACGGAGCTCTGGTGTCCACCGAAGTTTGCTACCACAAGTGACATTCCGCCTCGGTGTTTCACTAAATTAAAATGGGCATAATCTTTTAATGAAGAATAGTAGACACTCGAGCAACATTTCGTTGAAAAGAAAAGACGAAGCTCTTTAAAATTTGATTGAAGAGAATTTTTCAAAAGTTTTTGTTGGGGCGAAAAATATGAAAAATTCGTACCTTTCAAATTCATTTTTTTGGCAAAAGACACCGAAATTCTCTTAACCTTTTGGCCTCAATAAAAATTTTTTGAGCAATTCACTTTGATTCAGTTGTAAAGAGCTTCGTCTTTTCTGTCCAGCGAAATATTACTCGAGTATGTAATATTCTTCGTTAAAAAGTTATAATTATTTTAATTTAATGGAGAAAATATTATTGAACGTTATTTTAAGGTTTTATGCCCCAACTTTGAAATCTAAATAATCTCTTTAATATTTTAAAAGGAAGGTTTGTTTCTTACGTTATATCAGATGCAGGACATCTAGTGGTATATAGGAAAAAGTTTTCACGATGAAGTCTGACGAAGAAATTCAACTCTTAGCTTTAAAACTCCATAGTTTTCAAAGCTAAGGGTTGAATTTCTTCGTCGGAGTTCATTTTAGGCTAAAATTCCATGTTCCTTGCTTATAGTTTCTCGAAAAGAAAGCATTTTGATGCAAACGTCTGGGTTCATTAGTTGTTCAGAATGTCATTTTCTATGGCATAAGACATTGCTAGTTTTCAATACGCATCCAGATAAAATTTTCGAAGTCTTCAAGCCATCTGGCGTAAAAAATACCTTCTAAACAACTTGTGTAGCCAGATTTTGGCTCCAAAATGCTTCCTGTGGACAAAAGGCAAGTACTCTACACACTTTTAGCCCTAATCCCGTTAGGTATGTAAAAGTTAAAATAAATTTCTGCGCAAGAATCGATTTAACAACGATGAAAATTTCTTTTTATGCAGAATTCAATGTGCTCTATCGTATCATGGAAGAATCAGCTATGCCTATTAGACTTTCTAAAAACGGCACAAAAGAACCTGGGGAAAACTCCAGCTCGTTTTATCGTCAACGAGACAATGTCCGCAACCCGAAAAAACTTTAAAGGATGCTCTACAAACTGAGGAAAACTGGAACAAATCTTCGAAACCCTCCTCCTCGCACGCATTCGAAAAACGAATTCCAGCATCCTAGAAATCTGCGTTCCGATCTCCGATCTCCGGTCAACGCATCCTATTGAACCATTTTAAAGTTACCTGTTTTTAGGCTATAAAAAATATCTTGGATGTTAGTATTCTTGCTCTTCAGTACTTAGGTATGCACTAGCTTTTAACTGATATTGGGGCGTCCGGAAAAAGTGCTATACATCTGTTAGCAAGGTTCGCTCATAATTGCGGAACGTCTCATTTTGTAGAAAAATGTTTGCTCTATCAAATGCATATTATTAAAAAATTCCAATGGTATATCTGACAAAACTTAGAACATTCGAAAATGCACCAAATCACGAAAAAGAACCTGTTCGTGAGGTTTTGTTGGTGATTTGGTGCATTTTCGAATGTTCTAAGTTTTGTCAGATATACCATTGGAATTTTTTAATAATATGCATTTGATAGAGCAAACATTTTTCTGCAAATTAAGATGTTCCGCAATTACGAACGAACCTTGATAATCAATGTATAGCAATTTTTCCTGATGCCCCAACGCCAGTTAAAAACAGGTGCATATCTACCAATACTGTTGAAAATAGAATTAGAAATAATGCATTAATTAACGCAGATAAGACGCATTTGGTTGCTATGTATATCTCAGTTCTTATTCCTTATTTCTTCTTTATCATAAAGATGGATTACTCATCAAATACGGTTGGAAATTCCTCTCGCAGTCGAAAAATGTCGAACGCGAATGCACTGGTCTCGACTGTCATTAAGTGGATGTGGGATGATTAGCCACCAGACGATTCTAACCTTGCTGCTAAATGTTCATCAACGATATCATACAATTTGAGTGATCTGTCATAATTCTGTAGTGCTAGTGTCCTGTCACCTCTTGAATTGAGTTCATCACCTTGTTCGATGAAAAATTCTGCTAAATCAACGGCTAACTTACATAGTAAATTCTGTTCAAATTGAAACACTCCCCAGATTTTCAAGTATGATCTTGACCACATTTTATGGTATCGAGGCTCGGTAGTGAACAAATAAATAGATCGAATTTGTTGAAAATGCTGTACTTCGTCCACAAGCTCGAGGACTAATAAACTTTCAGATATGATAAAAAATATCTTTTTGTTCGTATGTGTTGATAAGTATCGTATACACTGCGTACGATTACTAAAAAACCGAAAATTTTCGGTAATCAGCTGAAGTTTATTTGAAATGATCGGAGTAATATTTAAACTTGAATCGAGCCAAACAAAAATAAATGATTGTGTAAAATCTAAATACAAAATCGTTTTTGTTTGAGACTGAATCCAGAGAAATTACTTAATTTAGTACTAACCTTTTATTTTAGTAAATGGAATAAAATGATTTTGCTCTTTCTTATAGTGTTTTGTAACAACAATAGTTGAATAGCACTGCTGCTGCAGATAATTGCTACCTTTTTTTTGTACTGATTCTATGTTAATTCGTGCAACATGGGCTTCATTGAGTAAACGGCTAGTAGTAGTCGCTTGATTAATAAAGTAATTTAACGCTCTAACCCGTCTTTTTTGTGATGTTTTTAGTTTCGGTAAAGATATATCAAAACTTTTCTGGTCTTCTCTTAAGTGAACAATGGCCTTTACACATGCCATGTTCAAACGAAGAGTTTACTAAAAAAACTAAAGTATGAAAATCACAGAGTTAGCTAACTAGAAAGAAACTTTCGCTCTAGAGAAAATATTTCCTCTTCAACATTTAATTCCATCTAGTTTTGGTTTACAAGAAAAATACTGAATAAATGTCGTTTTTCCATGATGAAAAATTATTAGCCCATTGTCGAAAAAATTCTAGTTTCGATCAATAAACACATGGAAAAGTTTGATTTATTTTATAGACCTAACTCTTGATGAACTCGTTTGACTGAAAAACGTCAAAAGAGCTAGCAAAGAACTTGTTTTAGGACGGAAAAGACTGTCCGAGCGTAGGAAGCTTTTTTAAAATACTATGTCTACCTTTGGCAACACGTTAACTGGAAGTATATTCTCATATTTTCCTCGTCGGTTTACTCTAGCCCATTTTCTAGGGTTGGTCCCACCGATTTTGAAATTCTGAACTTGCCACTTTGTAGGAAATTTCATGAGTTTCAAAATGATATATAATAGAAAAATGTACGTTTTCTTGTTTAGGAGAAAAGGGACCATACGAGCGAGGACTATGTACTATATTGTATAGGTAGGATTTATTACAAGTGCTCCACTGCTATCAAAGCACTGCTGTTAACTGTTATGTCACACGTATTCTGTAGAGACTTAGGGCTATCCAATGGTATATTTAATTTGTGACGAATAAATACTCGGAATACTATTGACGAATAAATACTCGGATTTTAGTTATGAAAAGTACGCAAAACTACTTAAAACCAACTGATAATACTTTTCTACTACTCATAGAATCATTTTTAGACAAAAAATAAAGCGGACCGACCAGCTTTATGTGGACCTCTTCTTTGTTGCAGAACCTAGTGTATGCAATTAATATTGTTATTCTTTCATGTTACCTGTAAAAAGGAATCAAACGAAATGATCAGAGGAACTCAAAACACACACTGATTAAGTTGTTTGTTTTCTCGCTTTATTTATTGATTTACCGGTGTCGTGAAGCAACGTTCTCTACTTCTTATGAATCTGTGTGTTTTTCGATTTTTTTATTCATTTCGCCTCTGTGATTACATATATAGCTACGTTACTCAGCTGTTGGAAATTTCCAACTAACCAAGAGAAACACAAAACAAAAGTGCAAACAATTGTTGTGAAAACAATAAAACTATACCACAAAAATAGATTTGCTTTTTTAACAGTTTTTATGTGACACATGCAATGAAGAGTTGAAGAGAGAATTAATAATGAAATATTGTAAATGATCGCCTTAAACTTTATTTGTTCAAAATAATTGAAATTATTGGATTCCTTTTTCTCATTAAAGTGTTACGGTTTAGCTATTAATCTAGCGAAAAACTTACTCTAAGTTTTATACAGCAAATCTAATGCCATTACGACAAAAAGGAAATAGTACACATCAAAAGATAAAAGTAAACGTTAACTCTACTTCCGCAACAAATGCAATGATATGCACCCATCAGTGCTATATTCTCGAGTCCTGTCCGAATCGTTAAGTCGTAACGACTTTAGTATCCATTACGACTTTACGACTGAGTCGTATAGCAGTACGACTTAACGACTTTACGACTTTATATAAATATTCTATCTACGACCTAACGACTTAACGACTGAGTCGTATAGCAGTACGACTTAACGCCTTTACGACTGAGTCGTATAGCAGTACGACTTAACGCCTTTACGACTGAGTCGTATAGCAGTACGACTTAACGCCTTTACGACTGAGTCGTATAGCAGTACGACTTAACGACTTTACGACTGAGTCGTAAAGTCGTACTGCTATACGACTCAGTCGTAAAGTCGTCAAGTCGTAGTGTTGTAGACAGGATATTTATATAAAGTCGTAAAGTCGTACTCCTATACGACTCAGTCGTAAGGTCGTAAAGTCGTACTCCTATACGACTCAGTCGTAAGGTCGTAAAGTCGTACTCCTATACGACTCAGTTGTAAAGTCGTAGAAAGTGTACGACTTTCGAAAGTCGTTACGACGTAACGACTTCTACATGTATGATATTCTCACGCTCGCCTCGACATAATTGAAATAGCACTCTATGCGTTGTAAGAAAAATATGCGTGATAAACTTCAGTCTTAACTGATTTCTTTCACAAATTTAATTATATTCAGTTTTATAGCAGATGAAAATTTTCATTTCTCTGCAACGCAGTTCGCGTGCAAAGTCTCTTGAATATTAAAAGTCTTGATACATATAATACTGTCACCCTTTAAGAGAGACTTTACATCAATAAACTCGACACATATAAATACTATACATTCAGAGAAGACAGTTGCTTGATTAAATCTGATAGTACCACAAAAGATACATATTCATCAGGCACACCATGAAAAATACGTTCAGAAAATGACTTTATCGGTATTGCTGGAGATTTTGAAAAGTGGAACGGATCGACACTACCAAGCTGTCAGAGATTTTTAATGAGAAAAACTTTCGTGTTTTAATACTTTTTGAAACTCAAAACTAAGCCGTTCCTCAGTGCATAAATTTCTCCGGTTAAAATAGGGGATGTTGCATAGAAAAAGAAAAGAAAATGGCTGACAAACAGAGAAAAACACACAGAAACAGTAAAATATGGATGATCAATTATAGATGCATAAAAATCTTTATTCTTATGCACTTTCTGTCTAAATAGCTTTGATAGCCGAAGCTGGATTTTTTCAGAACAACGACCCATTTACCATGATTTGACAGCTTGGGACTCTTATAATGCGTGTCATACCGATAAACCAGCGCCACTCAGGGTTTTTGAGACCTGATGATATTAACATTAAACGTCTAACACGCCTGATATATATGAATCGATAGAGGTTATCGAGTTGCTTATGATATAGCTCTATTCAGTGTTTTTAATAGGAATTTTAAGCAAAGTGGGTTTCCCCAGTTTACCACTGCATTTTCCATGTTTTCCCTGCTAAAAACAAAGTGGAAATCCTTTTTGCTCAAGCGAGACCCACTAATCATTAAAAACACTGGCTCTATTATTTACATAGCAATTGTTTGTACTTTTGTTTTGTGTTTCTTTTGGTTAGTTGGAAACTTTCAACAGCTGAGTAACGTAGCTATATATGTAATCACAGAGGCGGAATGAATAAAAAGTCGAAAAACACACAGGTTCATAAGAAGTAGAGAACGTTGCTTCACGACACCGGTAAATCAATAAATAAAGCGAGAAAATAAACAACTTAATCAGTGTGTGTTTTGAGTTCCTCTGATCATTTCGTTTGATTCCTTTTTACAGGTAACATGAAAGAATAACAATATTAGTTGCATACACTAGGTTCTACAATAAAGAAGAGGTTCACATAAAGCTGATCGGCCCGTTTTATTTTTAGTTACATTTTAGTATTTATCAAGAATTCGTATATATTTTAGTATTTTACGATTTTAAAAAATATTCTCTAGTCGCTAATTGACCAATTTTTCATACGAGAGTGCCACTTTTGCTAAATGTTAAGAATATACTCTTCTGTTTGCTAGAGAGATCAATTGTCCTTGTTCATAGACGAATATTTTGCTTGATTATAGCGTATTTGGTTTCGCTTGATATTAGTGGAAATATTTGCTGAAAATTATATGAATAAACTTCTTGCTAAAAAGCTAGAGATATTCTTGTCGTGTTGAAAGGAGAATATTCACCAGTCATCGGTAAAATATTTTGCTAAAATCTGGCTGCCAGAGGTATCTACACATGGGTATGCACCGGCATCGGTATACCAAATACCGGAAATATCGACTTTATTTAACTTGGAGTTTTTTGGATCTTTTCGTGTGAACTGAGATATTTTAGCATTCTGGACAGGCAGAATGCATAAAAAATATTCGTTTGTGTATTCTGAGCATGTGCAGATAGAAAAAACAAAAACTTTTACAAAAGCAAAGCTTTTGTTTTGCATCCCTGAGTCTTCCTCCGTGTTCAGGACGCTAAAATATCTCACTTCAAATGAAAAATTCCCAAAAAGTCCAGGTAAAAAAAAGTCGATATTTTCGGTATCGGTATTTCGATATGGCTATCGATACTAGTGCATACCAATCTACACATAATTTTTCACAAGGCATCGTCATGTTTCTCCTATTATCTGTACTGTGTTGATATGTCATCTTGTACATACATATTTGGTATGCAGCCATATTTTGTTAATTAAAGTTAAATCCTTGACATTCATAAGAATCCCCTTTCTATAAATTGTCGTCCACGCTAAGTCTAACGGATGTGTGCATACGACATAAATCTCACGAAGGAAGCTCTAAAGAGTCTTTCTCAAATTTTAATAAAGCTTTATGTGCAAGTCAGATTTATGACGCTGATCACAAATTTGTACAGTAAAACTGTTT